TGTGTGTGTGTGTGTGTGTGTATATGTATATATATATATTTCAGTGTAATGTACATATTGTATACTGTTTATAACATAATATAATGTAACGGTCTAAGTGGTTTGGGGAATTTAATATATATAATATAATACAATATAAGCTAAACTAAGCTAAGATAAGATAAAACACCCTACATGGAATAAGCGATTTGGAGAATGATTAAATAATATAATATGTAATAAATATAATATAATTTCACGTTTTTCCCCCTTTTCTTTTTCTATTTATAAATAACATTAAAATGTTTTGCATTTACACATTGATAAATCTAGGGCAGTCTTAAAAAGTTCAAATCGGTGCCCAGTGCAAACCGTTTTGGATTCAACCGTCTCTGGAAAGCACAGTGTGTGGGCACACTTGGTTGAGACATAGCCTGTGCGCGTGTGCCAGTGCATGCCAATGAGGTGCCACTGACAGACACATATTGTACCAGAGCCAACTGGGAGGAATCATGGGAACCCATGAATAGCTGCCTGGGGGTGGGTCGGGAGACCAGGATGGCAGCGCTTTCAAAGCCCTATTGAGGCTGGCACACCAGGCGCTAGACTGGCACTGAATCAAGTGACATGTGGGGTACAAAGAGTGCAAGGAGGCAGGAAACATTATCCATCGTACAAACCGATCAAGCAGAATGGAGTATTACTCTAAACATTGTATATGGACCTGTAGAATGACAATTAAAGCGATCTCAGCATTTGTCAGCCACCACAAACGTCTTTTTGCCCCCATATTCAATTCTTACTCAAAATAGCTCATGCCATTAGAGTACACATTATGGAATATTATGGAAGTCAATAGGGACCAGAAACTGTTACCCACATTGGTCAAAATATCTTCTTTTATGTTCAACAGAAGAAAGAAACTCAAACAGGTTTGGAACAACTTGAGGGTGAGTCTTTAACTGTCTTCGTGATCCTATTTATTCACCAAAAAAATTTGACATTGATCATGTTAATGCTTTAACATGCCCTAAAGTATTGGTACAGTATGCGGTATTCACTTAACATGCAGTGATCAAAATCACATGCTATATGCTTGTCCTTTAATAATAGATTTTGAGGTGTATATAAGTATTTGGTGAGCGTTAAGTGAGTTCTCGTTTCTTTTTCTTTCTTTTTCTCCCCCAGTGTTTATCTTTCCATTGAGGTTATTAAAATGTTTTGAATCTGCCTAGAAAAACGCATACACTAATTTCCATATTCTTTTATCTGTTAATTAACATCTTCATTCAATGTGCAGAGATTAAATTTATAAAGCCACAATGTCTTATGCTCTTATGGACACATAAGTGCTGATTTCACAATGTGATTCAAATTACAAAGTGCCAAGCACTTAGAAATGACTTTCTTTTTCCTAGCTTGTGATATGCAGTACATCCTGCAGAATAGTAGAGGTGCCAGTCAATGCAATTTACAGCATGAGGATCCACTGGCCCTGGGTTCTTTGAAATACTGATTTCTGCCATACACATGTGAAGCTGGTAAAGAGAGCATGGTTGATGGCTTCCTCTTGACTTTATATATATATATATATATATATATATAACGGATGTGTAGGTAGCTCTATGAATAATTTTTGAGCAACTGAACAGAGAACAGGAAATTGTCAGGGGAGCTCTATCCATAGGCTATCTCCATGGTCACCACAGAAGTTGAAAAGTTCATATATCAATGCAGCCTACTTCTGATTTGTCTATGAAGGCTTCTCTCGCCCTCTAGTGTTTTCAGATTACTATTACATTGCAGTAAAAAAAATCAAAGCCAAACTGATTTTACTGAAACATTTTGTGTTGCATAACAGAATATCTGCCACAACTATTAGTATAGCCTTCAGATTCCAAGTGAAATGTCCATCGCAAAAACTTCAGAGAGAAAATAGGTTCATAGGTTTGACATTTGTTATTGTTTTTTTTTTTTTTTTTTATTTTTGTGTTCAAAAGTATATAAGGGGTCGGCAAAAAATATTTTTTGAAGAAAATTCTAATGCTGACCAAGATTTATTTTATTTAATGAAAAATACATTTAAAAAATATTTTGAAAAATTATTACAATTTAAAATTGTAATAATTAAAATTGTACTCCAGTCTGCAGTGTCACATGATTCTTCAGAAATTATTCTAATATGCTGATTTGGTGCTCGTGAAATTATTATCAAAGTTGAAAACAGTTGTGCTGCTTGATATTTTTGTGGAAACTGTGATACATTTTTTAGGGACTCTTTGATAAACAAGTTAAAAAGAACAGCATTTATTTACAATAGAAATGTTTTGTAACATTATAAATGTCTGCATCCTTACTGAATAGAAGTCATTTATCAGACAAAAAAAAAAAACTTTCATCATATTTAAATCATCTTTTGAGAAATGAAATGCACAAAATACAAATAAATACAAATCTAGTTTGCTATAGTATAGATGCACACTTTCTTTATTTACTACATACAATTCTCTAAAGATAAGTTGACATAACAAACAGCCTATAGGGCGGTGTAGAGGTTGTTGTTGTTGTTTTGTAATGTGGTTAGAGCATCAGCTGCTCTAAGCTAGTGGGAATGTTATTTACTACACACCTGAAGGCAACAACTGACCTTTAACCAAACTAGAGAGAGACTTGACAGAGGTCATAGCTGGGAGGAAGTGGAGCTCTGTCATGTCAAAATGAAGCTTGAGGGTGAACTTTCAGAAGACAGAATAAAGAAAGAGCTTTATTGCAAAATATATTTACACACACAAGGAATCTGTCTTGGCGGAAGGAGCTTCAAGTGCAGAAGAAACATAGTGCAAACATACATGCAGACATAGGAATTACCCAGTAGAAATTAAATATAACACTAATATATGAAAAACAGAAAATTAAATAATGTAATATAATACAGATGTAGAAATCTAGAGAAAAAAAAACTATTGTTTTAATCAATGTACATATCATGTAGTTTACAAATGTTAAATTTTCAAATGCTGTGTATAAATGTGTCAGTCATGATGGACAATGTATAGTTATGAAATTTGTAATTGTTCAGGCTGAATATGGCCTGTGGGGGGAAAAAAAACTATTCTTGTACCTGGCTGTTTTGGTGGTCGGTGCTTTTTAGCGCCAACCAGAACAACAGTTCAAAGAGAGAGTAAGCTGGGTGTGAGGGGTCCAAAGTGATTTTCATAGCCCTTTTCCTCACTCTGGAGGTGTAAAGATCTTGGAGGATGGGCAGGGGGGAACCAATAATCTTCTCAGCAGTCCTGACTATCCGTTGTAGTCTCATGATGTCTGATTTGGTAGCTGAACCAAACCAGACAGTTAAGGATGACTCAGATTGATTTATCAGGGAGGCATAGAAATCTTAATGCCAGGTATTGTTAGAATATTAGTGGTAAGAAAATGCATTATAATGAGTTAGATAATGAGATAATGAGCTATCTGTTGCAGATGGAGAACAATACGGGTTCAAACGGTGATAATTTCAAATCAATCATGTCTATTTATTTGGTAAGTAGCAGTAGTAAGTTGATTAATGTGGCCCTTTACAATCATACAATAAACTCCTTCATTGTGATAAAAGAACTGTATCCTGCAGTAAATCATCCCTTAATTATATAATGATATAAGTCATCTGTGTCATAATAATTGAAATATATATGAATAAAAAAAGTGTTTCCATAACAGATTTGTTTTCACTTTTCTGTTCTACATTTATTTATCCTCTAGGTGGCAGCAAAATAGCATCCATGGCTTGATTAATGTTACGCATTTTATACAAGATGGGAGCACTGGCGTGCAGGGGGGTGGGGGCTGGATGACGGAGGATGGGGGTGGCTCAAGCCCCTGCCCCTTTAATTGCAGACGCTAAAGTGCCATTTTGGGCCGATCTAGGTGCCCTCGAAACGCAATTTCTCTCCTGGAGGTCAAGCCTTACTTGATACACATGGGTATTGTTTTACTGAACCTCTTTTAATGTCTGCACAGCGCTAGAAATTACACACTCTGCTTGCCCTTTTATCCCCTCATTTGGAGCCACATGAATGGTTATGATACATCAGAGGAAGTGTGAATCACAGATTCCCCCTTTCAGTATCAGGAGATGATGAATGAAGTTTCCATGGTTTCTGTAGAACATAAAACAGAGATTAATGCTCCTGCACAAGCAATCACAGACAGCAGATGTGTCCATATTTGAATGACTAAAGATAATGTTATTAAGAACAGATATGAATGAGAAACTAGTTGTTGTGGTTAAACAGGTGCAAAGACAACTGTCATTTTCACTTCACTATGTCAGAGATATTGAAAACAAAATCATTCCAGCCAGTGCAAGGCAGCAGTCTGTGCAATGT